TTGATGAAAGATATGAATATAAATGTCCAAGAAGCTAAAAAAAAAAAAAAAAAAAAAAAAATCCCTGCTTAGAATTAGAAAGGTCCCAGGGAAGGGCGACAGTGGGTCAGATGCTCCCCCTTGTGGCTGGGTTACAAGAGGAGAAGGGAACTGAGGCCCAGAGAGGTTACTGGGCTGGCCCTAGGCCACACAGCCCAAAGAGGCAGAGCCGGAATGTGAGCCCAGGCTCTCTGGCGCCGGGCGGCCTGAGCCCACCCCCCGCTGGGGCTGTCCTCTACATTCTCTGTGGCCTCCCAGCCTTTGTCCCTGCTGTTGATCTTGTTTGTACCTTCCTCGGGGCCAGGTTTCCTCGTAATTCTTGGCTCTCAGTTCATATTTAGGGGGCAAGGCGCTGAGACTGGCTTGGGGGGCTCGGGGTCCGTGGGGCGGCTCCTCTGCCTGCTGGCTTCGCACTGGGGCATCAGTCAGGGGCGACCACTGCACTGGGACCTTCTCAGTGCCAGAGGGCAGGGCTTTTCTTGGGGCACTGATTTTCTTAAAGACAGGAACACTCTGGCATCTTTGGCCTGGGAGCAGAGGCGATACTCAAAATGCTTTGTAACAAGCATCTCCAGGCTTCGTAACAGGGCCAGGTCCCAGAGGCCTCCTGCCCAGCTGTGACAGATGTTACCCGTTACTTCCTGGATGATGGGGGGTCCAGGAGGCCCTAGGAGAGGGGCCACGGGCTCCTCGGGGATGGGGCAGCTGGTCTTAACCAGGGGGTGCAGGCTTATCTCAGTATTTCCATGCCCGCCGTTGCTTGCTGCCTCTGGGGTGGCAGTGGGGGCACACTTGTGCCCTGAGTGTGTAGGTAAGGGAGAGGGGGTTCTCTCCGATCCAGAAGTTCAGAGGTGTCCCCTATTTCCTTCCACGGCTCTCTCCTGCCCTCCACCAGCTTCCAGCCGCTCCACCAATCCCACTGAAAGCACCACAACCTCCAAGAGGCGATCTCCACGCAAAGATGTGAAGACGGACCCCGCCCCCAGGCCGGCTGGTCAGTAACCCCTCCCCGGACTGCAGACAGGCTCTCTCCCGCCGCTGTATTTCTGGCTCCTGGAATACTGCCCGCACAGAGTTATCCTCCATAAACGTGACTTCAAGGCTGGCGGCGGGTGGGCCCTGCGTAGACACGCCATAAATGCCTGGATAATGAAGGCTGCGTGCAGCACCCCTCAAACTCGGTGGTTTAAAATGACAACCATTTACTTAGCTTCCCAGTCTACAATTTGGGCTTTTCGTCTGGGCTCAGCTGGGTGCTTCTCTGGGTCTCCACTGGGCTGACTCGGGCATCTGAGATCACCCGGGGGTCCGCAGGGGGCTTCTAGGGGCACCTGGATCCTTCCCTTGGGGTCTGATTTTCCGCTTCCTGCCCAGCCAACCCCAGTGGACAGATGGGAATCATATGCCCACGGGTCACACAGAGCATTCATTCATTCATCCAAAAAGTATTCATTGAGCACCTACTGTGTGCCAGGCAGTGTTCTAGGTGCCAGGGACACAGCAGCGAGCAAGACAGACCAACATCTCCTCTCACGGAGCAGACATTCTAGTACGGGGAGAGAGACGATAAATAAGAGTCGTAATCACTATATATCAGGTGGTTTTAAGTTGCCGTCGAGAAAAACGAAGCAGGGTTAGAGTGAGAGAATGAATGAGGAGTGTTTTCTGTAAAGGGCTAGGGGGCGTCACTAAGAAGGAGTAGGGGGGGCTGTGTCCAGGCTGAGGGAGCAGCCAGTGCAAAGGCCCTGAGGTGAGAAGGGGTCTGGCACAGTCACCAGCAGGGCAGCCGGTGGGGCTGGAGCACACGAGTAAGGGGGACAGTGGGGAGGTGACGTTGAGAGGTGACGGGAGCCACACTGTGGGCCACGTGAAGACTTTGGGTTTGTTCTAAGTGTCCCAAGGCTGAGACCCAAGTGTCCCCTCTCCTGACTCTGCTGTTCACTGACTCACTCTGCAAACCTGTGCTGAACGCCGCCTTGCTCCCTGTCTGCCCCCTCCAGGTTCCAGCGAGGACGACCCCTTCTCCTATGGTGAGTTACCCCTGGGGGAGGTGGGGGGAGGCGGGGCGCAGGCCTCGCTCACCATGCTCTCTGGTATCTCTGCAGACGAGGACACTCTCCGGAAACGGGGGCTGCTGGTCGCGGCCGTGCTGTTCATCACGGGCATCGTCATCCTCACCAGTGAGAATGGGGGCGGGCAGGCGGGGGAGACGGGGACTGGGGGAGGAGGCCCCTGCTGGCTCTGCCTGACGGGGGCGCTCTTCAAGGCTCTGGGCAAGGTTGTTCTAAAGGAGGCGTACCCGTCGGCAGCACAGCCCTACAGACCGGCCCAGAATTCAGCGGCTTAAATGACAGCCACTTAGCTCTCAATTCTGTGATCTGGGAATGCAGGCTGGGCTCAGCCGGGGCCTCTGCTGGCTGCGGCTGGATTTCCTCATGCACTGAGGTCAGCGCAGCTCAGCGGGAGCTCTTTGTGTGGGCACTTGGTTCTCGGCCTCGTGGTCTTATCCTCCAGAGGCTAGCCCGGGCTTCTTCACCTGGTGGGGGCAGGGTATGGCGATGGTGTGGCCCCCCAGGACTAGCAGCAGTGACAGGCTGTGATCAGCCCAGCCCGAAGGGTGAAGGGAGGTATCAGCTGAGCCAGGGCCTGCTGAGAGATGGAACCGTGGGAGGGAAGAGGTTTCCAGCCACCGCCTCATAGAAGCCCACCAGGAGGGCGCGGGGTGGGGGGAGACACCTACACCTCCCTCTCCTCCTGCCCGCCCCTGCTGCAGGGCCTCCCGCCAGAGCTCAAGGAGAGGGCGGCCGGGGGTGCCGCCTCTCAGGTCAGCCTCCCACAGCCCAGCGTCTCGCGCAGGGAAAAGAGCAGAGGGAGAATACCAAGCAGACAAACTAATTTTTTAAAAAGTTTTTTAAATGCTGCAGATTAAATAAAACAGGAGGGCCACCAGTTTGCAAGCTCTCCGTTAAACTGTATAACCTACGCCAAGTTTCATTACCTCTCTCGTCCGACTTTCCCATCAGGAAAATGGGCACAGCCATATCTTTTTTGCCTTAAGGTGGGAGGCAGAACGCCAATACAGTCATGCGCCGTGTATCGACGTTTCAGTCGACGACAGGCCACATATACCATGGTGGTCCCGTCAGATTAGAACCATAGAGCCTAGGTGTGCAGTAGGCTGTACCACCTAGGTTTGTGTGAGTCACTCTGTGATGTTCACACAGTGACGAAATCGCCTCACGACACATTTCTCAGAAGGTAACCCTGTCGTTAAGCGGCACAGGACTGTACTATTAAAAAGAGATGGGTAGCTCGTGTCTGACCCACCCTGAATCCGGGGGCTCAAGCAATGTCGCCTCAGTGGTTCAACGTGTGTTTGTTGATCCTGACTCTGTGCCCGGCCCTACTCTCTCCCTGTGGGAAAATTGAGGCTCAGAGAGTTGAGGAGTTTGCCCAAGGTCACACAGCACATAAGAATCCAGGAAGGACTGGCCCTGGGTCTGTGTAAGGGCAGAGCCCGAACGTTAGCTCTAGGGCCATAAATGGTTCCCGTGACAAACATCTGTGGGCACCTGCTCCGTGCTCGACCCGGGCTGTGGTGCTGGGGGCACGGCCCTGGTCCCCACCCTCGGGGAGCTCACGTGGTGCGGGCTGACGAGCATTTACCTAAATGCCTCACTGAGCAGAGTGGGTGCCCAGAGAGATGATTACCGTGAGGAGAATAAAGCGGATGGCAAGACTGAGGATGGAGAGAGTCTCCCTCTAGAGAGGGACAATCAGAACTGGTTCCTGACAGTGAGAAAGGTGATCAGAAAACTGGGGACAGGGCGCCCCAGGTTCGAACCCCGGAGGCGAGAATGATCTGAGCATGTTGCAGTAAACGGGGGAAGAGGCCAGGTGGCTGGGCAGTGTGAGCCGGGAGGGGAGTGGAAGGATGCAAGGCCAGAGGGCCGGGGGCGGGGGAGGCAAAGTGGCAGCCGGGAGATGTAGGGTGCTGTTGTCTGAAGTCCCCTTTGTCTTCTAAGAACCTCCCTCCTTCACTTTGGTCCTGCCCCGTGGCCTCTCTGCTGTCCCTTAAGCCCACCTGTCTGGCTCCTACCTCAGGGCCTTTGCACTGGCTCTTCCCTCTGCCTGGAACTCCTTTCCTCCAGATGGCCACATGGCTCCCCCTTCACCTTCAGGTCTTTGCTCAGATGTCACCTCCTCAGTGAGGCCCCTCTGGTCATTGCCATGAGGATGCCCCCAGCTCCCGGACCTCCCTGCCTCCTTCCTGGCTTTATTTTTCTCTATAGTGTGCATCACCGTCTGACTTATCGCCATCCGTACTTGGCTTAGTTATTTTTTTCATCGTCAGTCTTCCCCGCCAGAAAGCCGGCTCTCCTAGGGCTGGGATTTTATTCCTTCTCATTCCTGGCTATATCCCCAGGGCCCAGATCAGGGCCTGGCCCACAGCAGGCGCATAATAAGGATTTGCTGAACGGATGAATGACCACGAGCTAGGATGAGCTCTCACAGGGCTCCTCTGTGTGGGGGTTCCTCCCTTGGGGCCCTCGCTCTGGCTCTTCTCTGTCGCCGCTCATCTCTTGCTCAGAGTTGCCCTGAGGGGCAGGGTTGACGGGCTGGTCCTCTGGCACCCAGAGCGCACACAGTCATCCATACTGTTCCAACTCGTGACCGAAACCTTTCCTTCGCCCACAGGTGGCAAGTGCAGGCAGTTGCCCCGATTATGCCGGAATTACGACAGGTGAGTCCATCGGAAGTGGGGCCGACGACCCGATGGGCACCGAGACTGAGCCCCACCGGCCCCCTCCTCCCTGCAGAGCCGACTGAGTAGTCAGTAAAGCCCGGCCCGAGAGGGAAGATGTGGATGGAGCCAGAGCCGGGGCCCACGGCCCAGGCCCCCTCTCCTCCCCACCCTGCCTGCCCTGAAGTCGGCTGGCACCCCGGGCAGCGCCCCCCGAGTTGTCCATTCTGTTCAGACAACGAATAAAGCACTGTGGTCCTGCCCCTCGTCTCGGGTCATTCGTGAGTGGGGAGAGGAAGAAGGTGCAGGGGCTGGGACGGTCCCTGGAGGAGTAAAGCAAGGGGTCCAGACTCCAAGCCAGGGCGGGGGGACAGTGAACAAAGCCAGTGTGTGTGAGGTGGGAGGATGGGGGGGCAGCTGGGGGGGACTGTGGCCACTGAGGGGCTCAGCGCTGGATTCTGCGCATGGCTGTCTGAGACCTCCGGCCCGGTCCCTGCACGGAGCCTGGTGTCAAGGCCAGCTCACCCGTGACATTGGTCATAGCCTTGGTAACTGGGAGCACAAATGGAGGTCCCGGGCCCATGGTGGACCCCTCTGCTTCACACTCGGGCCCCTCCAGCACTGCGAGGGGCCTCACACACATGAGTGTGGACACCCCAGCCTGCTCATCCAAGCTCCATCCACAGCCCCAACCCACAAATGCCCGTCTCTAGGCTACTCTTTGTTTCGGGATGTGCCCACCAGGAAGGCCACGCCGGCCCTGGAGTGGCTCAGAGCAGTTGGGGCGGGCACTACCAGGGTCCCGGGGTCCCAGAGCATGGTCGAGAAGGGGTACAGGCTCCGGTGGGCACTTCCTGAAGGTCCTTGGGCTCTGCAGCCCGTGGGGAGGAGCTCCCCCAGGTTGGGCAGGAGCAGGCCTCCGAAGCGCAGGGCCTGGGGCCAGGGCCACCACCCAGGTCTGAGAGTCGTCCTCTGAAGGAAAGAGACAAGGCCTGTTCACAGGTGTTTGCATAACGATATTTCACAAACTTCGGGTCACAGCCTCTTCATGGTTACGAAATCAGTTTAGTGGGCCATGAGCAGCACAAAAACAGAAAAACAAGTAATAAAAGAGAAAAGAAAATATGAGAGTATATCACAAGTAATATGACTCTCTATATATCCTCCTCTCAATTTTTGCCACATTTTCATCCCACTTTTAGTCACTTTTTTAGGAGATCAACTCCCTTTTTAACTGAAATAAATTTACTTTAAAAGGCACAATCATATATGGAAAACCAGTGCTGCTTCATATAAATAGAAGATAGCCAGAAAGATAAACCCAATGAAAACAAACACATACATTGTATGAGGTATATATTGTATTTGTTTTGTAATATGTATTGTATGTGATATACATATTATATACAGGAGAGATACTAAAAATATTTTTTGATTGGTACCCACCACCTACTAATCAGAACAGATTTCTAACCAATCAGGAGGGAATATCATTCATATATATATTATATATTATATATATTCATATATAATGTATTATATCTATTAAATTGAATCATATGAAATTGTCACTATTCACATTTTTTGACCTGTAAACATAACAATTTTATAGGGCTCAATCTAATGATATACACCATGATGATGATATAAAATGCATTTCATACTGCAAGTCACTTTTAAAAAATATTGAGAAGCGCTGGGAGAGGGAGTATATAGGTCGTTGTAGGGAGGGAACTCAGGTTTTTCTTAGAACAGGAAATGCCAGTGGCCACGTTTGCCCTTGGCTGGGTGGCCACACCGGTATGTGGAAGGTGTTTCTAGGACAGTATTTCCCAGACTTCAGTCATCACATACTCTCTTCTTAATTTTAGCCACATTTTTATCCTGCTTGTACTATTATTCACTTTTTAAAAAAAGATCAGCTCCCTTTTTAACTGAAACAAATTTACTTTAAAAGGTACACTCATACATGGAAAACCAGTACCTCTTGATATAAATAGAAGATAGCCGTAAAGATAAGCCCAATGAAAACAGACAAGGAAAAAGCTACATGGTGTTCCAGCTGGATACTGAGTTGCTGTCGAGGTCCCTGAGACAGAGGCCAGTCTGCTCTGTTGGAGGAGACCACCAGGTATTGGGTGTGGGCATTACCTTACTGCCCAAAGACACCACAGAGTTTGGGAGGCTCAAGACCACACTCATTTCTGACACCAACTGCAAGTTGGAGTGTCCCCAAGACCACCCTCGGGTTCGATAATTCACTGGAAGGACTTAGAACTCACTGAAAGCTGTCATGCTCATGGTTACGGTTTATTACGCTGAAAGGAACCAGATTAGAATGAACCAAGGGAAGAGACATGTGGGGGAGCGTCCAGGAGAGTTCCAAGCATGAGGCGTCCAATTGTCCTCTCCCAGTGGAGCCGTGGACAGTGCTGACTTCCGGCAACAGTGAGTGATGGTACGCACGGTATATTGCCGACAGGGAAGCTCCCACAAGCCTTGTGTCCAGAGCTTTTACTGCAGCTCAGTCATAAAGACATGACTGACCATCCCTGTGGTCATCGTGGTCTCCAGCCCTCCAGAGGTTGAGCTGACACCTGTGGCCCGAAGCCTCATCAATCCCATTGTTAGGAACTATCTGGGGTAGCCCAAGGCCCCCTGGGTAAACAAAGACACTCTTCTCAGGCAGGACATTCCAAGGGCTTAGAGATGACCTTCCAGGAGCTGAGGACAGCAGCCAGTCCTCCCTTTAGGCAGGGTTAATTCTTTACTGTGCAGAGCCGTCCTCCCTCATATCATTTGATGGATTGAAAGATGTTCAAAAAGTGATTTACTCTCTCGTGATGCAATTCACTGAGAGTTAATATTGTTTGGGGCCTGAAACCATCTCCCAGGCCACGACTGGAGCACAGCCTGGACTTGAGGAGTCCCCAGCTCAGGAGAATCCCTGACGGCCTCAGGGCAGACAGGGCAGTGCCGACCCTCTGCGTGGGTGATTGGGGCATTGGCGCTCAGCGTCCGTCCCCCTCATTCCATCTCCCCACGGGGTAGAGAGGAAAGCTGCTACTGTGTTTCCCAGATGCCCCTGAGATGGGGTTCTGGATGTGGTTTCAGCTCCGCTAATTAGAGCCCCTCCTGTGAGATTCGGAGGGCCAAAAGAGACCATCTTTCTGCCTCATTGGCTGTTTTCTGCTGGCCAGTATTGTGAAGGTGATGGGTGTTTTGGCTACACCATTCCAGTGTCCAGTCACTAGCCCTGTGGGCATTAAGAAGCAGTTATGCACACACACAAAGCATATCTATATGGCCTATAAACACATGAAAAGATGCTCAATATCATTAGTCATCAGTAAAAAATAAATGAAAACCAGAATGAGACACCATCACACACAGAATGGCTAAAATTGAAAAGACTAACAATACCCAGTGCTGCAGAGGTGGGGAGAGAGTGGAATTTTCCTACATTGCTGTGAGTTAGAGTGAAAATTGGTACAATCACTTTAGAAAACTGTCAGTTTCTTTGAAAGGTAAACGTACACTTAACATATGACCCAGCCATTGGGTTCTTAAATGTCCATCCACGAGAAAGGAAACCAGATGTCCATGCAAAGACTTGTACATGAATGTCTACAGAGGCAGTATCTGTGAGAGTGAAAACCGGAAACAACCTAAGTGTCCGTCAGCATAGGTGAGCGGGGATGAACTGTTTCGCACGCGTGCCATGGAATACTGCTCAGTAGTGATGGAGGAGATGATCCTGAGAGAAAGGAGCCGGATGCAAAAGAGCGCAGACTGTGTTCTTCCACTTATACAAAGTTCTGGAATAAGCAAAACTACAGTAATTGATGGTGACAGAAGTCAGAATCATAGTTGCTTCTACTATTATGTTGCCCTTACTATGGGGTTCAGGTTCACTGAGAAGGGGCATGAGGGAACTTTCTAGAAGGACTGAAATGTCTGTACCCTGAGAGTGGTGCAGATTACACAAATGTATATATTGGTCAGAACCAAATGAACCATACCCTTAAGCTTTGTGTACTTTACTACAGGTAAGTTATCCCTCAACACAAAACACAACAAGATTGAAAACAAAAAGGCAGCCATGTCCTGGATGGTGCTGACTTCCGGGTCCTGGATCAGAGATGGATTCTGAGGTTGCCGTGTGCAATGGGGCCTCCTGGTTGGGGTGGAGGGAGGAGCCCCCTGGTGAGCCGGTTCTGTCATCGTGAGATAACAGACCATGTACATATTGGGTTTTGCTCCCAGTTCCTGGCATGTAGCTCTTAAAATCCTTGTAATTTCCTAACAGATAAGAGCACTAGGAACATCTTTTGTTCTAATATTTGGTCTTTGACCCGGGTTCCTGACACAGAGCCCCTAAATCCCTCAGAATTTCCCGGGTGATAGGAGCAAGAAATGTCCTAATAAGGTCCTTTTGTCCTAATAAGGTGACACTGGTGGGCCCCTGATGGGGGCTGGTCACTAGAAAGACTAAGTTGTGATTAGAAGCTTGGAACTTTCAGCCCCACTCCCTGTCCTCTGGGAACAGGAGAGGGGCTAGAAATTGAATTAATGCTTGATCATGCCTATGTGATGAAACCTCCATAAAAATCCCAAAAGTACAGGGTTTGGGGAGCTTCCGGGTTGGTGGACACATCCACGGACTGGGAGGGTGATGCACCCCACGGGGTGCAGAGGCTCCTGCGCTCGGGACCCTCCCAGACCTCGCTTCGTGTATCTCTTGATCTGGCCATTCATCCGTATTCTTTATCACGTCCTTTGTTATATGATAAACTGGTAAATGTCAGTGTTTCCCTGAGTTCTGTGAGCTGTTCTCGCAAATCATCGAATCTAAGGTGGGGGGAGTCATGGGAACCTCCAGTCCGTAGCCACGTTGGCCAGAAGCTGTGGGTAACCTGGGGACCCACTACCGATTGGCATCTGAAGTAGGGGGCAATCTTGTGGGACTGAGCCCTTAACCTGGGGGTCTGCACTAACTCCAGTTAGCATCAGAATTGAATTATGGGACATCCAGCTGGCATCACAGAGAATTGCTTGGGGTGGGAGAAAACCCCAC